TGCAGCCATCGGCTGCTGCTGCTGCTGAATGTCTTCTTTAAGGACTGTTACAAAAGAACTCTTTTATAAATTGAGCAACAATAAGCATTTCATTTGTTTGCTGCTGCAGCTGGTGTTCTTGCTGCTGTTGCTGCTGCTGCTGCTGCTGCTGCTGGCTTACTATCTTCGGCCGAGCAACAAGGGGCCCCTAGCAGTCGGGTGGTTCGCCTGCAGCAGCGGGGGCGGCGGCAGCAGCAGCAGCAACAGCAGCAGCAAATGTGGTGTTGTTGCTGCTGCAGTTGTAGTTGTTGCTGCTGAACACCTGCTGCTGCTGCAGCATTCGTCTCTGCTTCGGCAATGCAGCTCGCCGCCCCCTCCACTCGAATCTGCTGCTGCAGCTGAGCTGCTGCAGCTCCTGCAGCAGACGGGTTTGCTGCTGCTGCTGCTGGGGCCCGGTAACTCACACAGCAGCATATACTTGAGCAGCAGCTGCTGCTGCAATGCGGGAGCTGCAGCAGCAGCAGCAGCAGCAGCAGCAAGAGCAGCCGCTGCTGCGCTTCGGTGGTGCCTTCACGGACCAGGGCGCCCTTAATGAATCGACAGCAGCAGCAGCAGCAGCAGCAGAAGCAGCAGCAGCAGAAGCAGCAGCAGCAGGGGGTCCAGATGCTCAGCCTTCCTTCAGCTTTGCTGCTGCTGTTAGAGCAGCAGCAGCAGCAGCTGCTGCTGCTGCCTCGCAGAGAAGAACACTGAAGGCGAAGGCCCCGTTTCTATGGAACTCCACAGACACCAGCAGCAGCAGCAGCAGCAGCAGCTGCAGCAGCAGCAGCAGCTGCTGCCTGAAATTCTCCCGCCTGTCGGGTGTATATGCATCCCCGGCAGCAGCAACTGGCAGCGCAGCAGCAGCAGCCTCACTCGACGCAGCAGCAGCAACAACAGCAGCAGCAGCAGCAGCAGGGAGCGACCGCACAGATGACAGCCGCCCTCCAGATGAAGAAGCAGCAGCAGCANGCAGCAGCACTGAGATGTATAAGCAGCAGCTACGTGAATGCCAGGCGCTGCTGCAGCAGCTGCTTGGGGGAGACACAGCGCAGCAGCAGCAGCAGCAGCAGCAAGCTGAAGCTGTCTTTCTCTCCTGCTCGGAGTCTCCTGGGGTGCTGCTGGCGCTCACCGCGTACGCCATTTGTGGTTATAACGAAACTCTTTTCTCTCACTCCTGCTCGCATGCTGCTGCTGCTGCTGCTGCTGCTGCTGCTGCTGCTGCTGGTGCTGGTGCTGCAGCTCAGCAGCAGCGCGAAGCAGCTGGCAGTTCCACCTCTGCTGAATCGCCCTCTACACGCCGACCGTCGCTGCAGCAGCAGCTGCAGCATCAGCAGCTGCAGAAGCAACACCAGCAGCAGCTTCAGCAGCAGCAGCAGCAGCAGGAGCTGGAGCAGCAGCAGCAGCACCTGATATGCTTGTGCAGTGCGCCCGGTTGCTGCTGCATATTTTCGCAGCAGGGGCAGCAAATGCTGCATTCTGCTGCTGCAGCCTGTAGCAGCAGCAGCAGCAGCAGCAACAGCAGCAGCAGCAGCAGCAGTGATTTCTTGCTGCAGGTGCTCTGTGCTTCGCTGCTGCGGCAGCTGGTGGGGCCCCGCTGGGGAGCCTTCGGCTGCAGCGAGCGGCAAGCGGCGCTGCTGCTGCTGCTGCAGGCAGCACCAGCGCACCCGCAGCAGCAGCTGCAGCAGCTGCTGCACAAGGTCTTAACGGAGCTGCTGGCCTACCAGCAGCAAACTGCTTCCTGCAGCAGCAGCTGCTGCAGTGAGCAGCTACACATGCAGCTGACAGCAGACACTTGCTGCTGCTGCTGCTGCTGCAAGAAGCGGCAGGCCCAGATTCAGCTGCTGCCAGCAGCAGCAGCAGCAGCAGCAGCAGAGAGCGGGAGCACGCCGCGCAGCAGCGCCAGCAGCAGCAGCAGCAGGACCGGCGCCAGATGCAGGCAGCAGCCTCAAGCGACTGCTGCTGCTGCAGCACCATCTGTGTTACCTGCAGCAGCAACAGCAGCAGCAGCAGCAGCAGACACCGCCTTGCATCCCCCTGCTGCGCCCGACGAAGCAGCAGCAGCGGCTGCTGCTGCTGCTGCAACACAAGCAGCAGCAGCAGCAACAACAGGCAGCTCGAAGCCAGCAACTGGCGCGTTGCCTTCTGGGGTACAGCCGTCGCCCCCGGACACTGCAGCAGCAGCAGCAGCAACAGCAGCAGCAGCAGCAGCAGGTGCTGCTGCTGGAGGTTCTGCTGCTGGCTGCTGCTACGCGTTGCAGCGCTGCTGCACTGCAGCAGAAACTCTAACTGAACGGGTGTTAACTCGGGTGATGGTGAGCAGCAGCAGCAGCAGCAAAGACGAGCAGCAACAGCAGCAGCACACAGAGCAGCACCAGCAGCAGCAGCAGCAGCAGCAGCAGAAGCAGTATGAATTACATGCAGTGTTTCGTTTTGTTAAATTTGTTGTTGCTGCTGTTGCTGCTGCTGTGTCTTGGCGTTGTGCAGGAGTTGATGCAGCGGGCAGCAGCTGCTGAAGCAGCAGAAAGAACAGCAGCAGCAGCAGCAGCAGCAGCAGCAGCAGCAGCAGCAGATGATGAGTATCCAGCATATGGCACTGCTCGCTTCGTGCTGCACTCATCGCTGCGTTTGCTGCAGGTGCTGCTGCGGGACTGTCCTAACTTTCTGCTGCTGCAGCAGGAGCGGCTGCAGCAGCTGCTGCTGCTGCTGCAGCAGACTGCAGCAGGAGGGCAGGCCTATAACCTTGTGCTAGCGCCAGGGATGCTTGCTGCTCCTGCTGCTGTTGCTGCTGCTGCTGCTGACGCTGCTGCTGCTGCCGACGGCCGCCCGCCTGCTCATCTGGCTGCTGTTGAGAGGACGCGAAGAAGACTCCAAATCAAGGTGAGTTGCTGCTGCTGCTGCTGTTGCTGCTGCTGCTGCTGCTGTTGCTGCTGCTGCTGCTGTTGCTGCTGCTGCTGTTGCTGCTGCTGCTGTTGCTGTCGTTGTTGATGCCTGTTGCTTCGTCTGTGTGTCAGCTGCTGGTAACAACAGCCTTTGTGTTCTTAATGCTTTCCTTCGCTGCTGCTGTGTGTTGCTGCTGTTGCTGCTGCTGCTGCTGCTGCTGCTGTTGCTGCTGCTGCAGAAGCCTCAACTGGACACAGCAACGTGCGTTGCCTGCCTTGTGGTGTACGTGGAGCTGCTGGAGGCTGCACAGGGGCACAAGCAGCGTTGCTGCTGCTGCAGCAGTTGCTGCTGGGCCTCAGCTTTGCTGCAGCACCTGCAGCGGCTGGTGCAGCAGCTGCTGCTGCTGCTGCGCATCAGCAGCCTGCAGCTAACAGACGGCAGCCACCTAACAGCAGCAGTACAGACAGTGCGTTGCTGCGTTCTTATAGCTCGTCTAGCTCGACCCAGCAGCAGCAGCAGCAGCAGCAGCAGCAGCAACAGAAACAACAGCAGCAGCAGCAGCAGCAGGACATACCCCCCACAACTTGAAGGAGACCTGCCGCCCGCTGTTGCTGCTGCTGCTTCTGCTGCTGCTGCTGCTGCTGCTGCTGATGAGGTGGGGTGTCTCCGCACCCCCTCAGAAGCAACCAGCAGCACTTCTGCTGCTTCTCCAGAGTCGCCTTTATCGGGTGCTCCGTCAGCAGCAACAGCAGCAGCAGCAGCAGCAACAGCAGCAGCAGCAACAGCAGCAGCAGCAACAGCAGCA